CTATTTATAAATCAAAATCTTAGTTTTTTAATGACTATATTATTTTTAAAAGTGAGTTCTCAAATGCTTGATGAGGTGTTAAAAGATTATTTTTCTTTATAAAAATAAAACAATAATTGATAAACGGGGTTAATATTATTAAATTTGAGAAATATAAATTTAATTTAATTTAATTTAATTTAGTTATTGTCTCATTTTACTGCTTAATCTGTGTATTATTTTTGAATTAAATTGTTAACTTTTGGAAAATAAGCAATCATATACATTGTCTAATAAATAAAAGGAAATACAAGTGTGATAATCATATACATTTACTTTTTCTTAAAGTTTAATTATTATTTTTATAAACTTTTTATGGATTTTTAATCTTGTGGCTATATAACCACCAATGTGTACATTCCATGCGTCTTTCTATTTTTCTAATCCTCTTACTACATAACAACTTAAGTTTTATCAATGTGATTAAGCATTTAATTTAAATACTTATACTTTTATCATAAGTTTAATGTAAATCAATAAATAGTCATAGTTTATATAGATAAATAAATATTTTAACAATGTAAATATGACTTCCATATGTTAAAACAAAATAATTTCATTCAGGTTAATAAATAAATTTTAACTAGCATAAATCAAAAGTAGCTTTATTAGTTTCTAAAAAAAATTATATTTAATATTAGTTAAGAAATAATATTAACATATATATTTGTAACTACTGTGATAAAAAATAACTAGAACTAACACAAAATGAAAATAATTTCAAGTAATATTAATGAAAAAAATTGTATTTAACATAGAACAAAAAATACCATTAAAATTAACTAAAAAGAGAGTAAACTAATGTTGTTAAAGAAGTTTTTGAAGGTAACAGTGAAAAAAAAGTTATCACAAACGATTTATATATATATATAACAATTGCCAACATAAATAAAAAGAACTATGTCACAAATGACATTTCAATTTTAATTTTAATTTTAACTAGAGTTAAGTTGACACTGTTTAACCAATGCTAAGTTGAAAAGACAACATAGAAAGAAAAAAAACACAGATAAATTTAAAAGAAAATATATAACAAAAAATTTCAAATTCACATTTTTTATGTAAAATTTCAGATTATATAATTTTAAAGGATCAAGTTTCTGTTAAATTCATAACTCTTTTTCTTTAATTTAATATCAACAAAATATTTTATCATTACTTATTCCAATTTTTATATAAAAAAATTTAGCCTATAAAAATAACATGATATTTTCAAATGTATTGACCCTGACAATAAATTTAGTTAGACAATATTATAATTTTAGTATTCATTTCTCAAGCAATTAATATGAAGTCATATTTGATTGTGAATCTCATGGATGGGTTCAAAAATGATAGTAGACTCATGGTCCGTGTTCAAACCTCTAAACCCCACTCATAATATATTCTAAGATCAATCATGTAGTTGACCAAGACTCTCAACTCATTATAAACCCAAATTTAAGCTAAAAGTTAAATACTATTCGTATAGTCAAATTCAATCCACAATAAACCTAAAATTAACTAACAAACTCAAGATATCGCCGTTTGAATTAATAAAAAAATAAAAACAAGTATTCAAATTCCTTTACTATTTACAACAGTACAATAAATAAAATTTTATCTCAAAAAATAATTTAATCCATTAGCTCTAATTTTACTCTCTTTCTGATAAATAATATTATTGGATGATTATTCAAACTTTGTAGAAGCATAATTGATTATAAGACATCACTTATAAGTTGTTTTGTTTGTGGGGGCTATTGGGTCTGGAAGGACAGGTCAAACACGTTCGCTTCTGCAACGCAGCATATAGAGAAATGACGCATACCCATGCATTGGTACTCAACTTTCCTTCTTTGTTTTTTGGCTATGTCTCTTTCTGTTTTCAGTTTTTGGTGTGAAAAAGTTCCAACAAACCCGGTTGGTGTACGTGGTGGCCACCCCAAATTATTTGACCAATCACAACCCTTCACTTCTCACCCTCTCTCGTTGCATCAATCGCATATCACCATACCAGACTGCAACACTTGTATTTTTACACACAAATTATCATCCTCCTAATCAAGTGCACTAACGAACCTATTCACCTAGGAGACATCATCACGTGACAACCAACATAAGACTCTGTCTTTCTCTTTTGTATCTTATTGCTTATATCATATCGGTACAAAGAAATAAACCAGACGAAAATAAGCAATACATTTTCCATCATATTATTCATCTTACTGGGATGCGCGTATAATAGAATAAAATAAAATTATTCACGATGCCCAAAATCATCGATCCAGGTGATGCTTCTTCATTCTCAAGTAATAATAATGGTAATAATAATAATAATAATAATAATAATAATAATACAAGAACACGACATACCCTTCTCCTGTTCCCAACGACAACACTTGGTACCTACCGCCAACTTCGCTTCATTTCAACTCACTTTGCTTATTTCCCAAAATTACATAATATTCCTTTACTTTTTAACTTTGATTTTTGCCTTGCCGGTTAAGCACCTATGTAGTTACGGTATCTTGCCAATGTGAGATTCATTTGTTACCACAAGCAATTGCCGTCACTGTTTATCGACCCACTCGGCAGCGATCCTTCCAGAGCTGCGGCTACCCAACTTCCCGAATGAACTTACACCGGATAACCCCTTGAAGCTGCTGCTACCACTGTCATTCACGTTTCTGAATTTCTTTGATGTCTTGCTCATCTTGGAACAGTTTGTGTCGACATTGTCTAGATCAGTTTCATCATGGTATTCTGTTTTCACGACCACGAGTCTTGTTATGGTGCTTCGACAGAATGGACATACTGGTGGAGTGAGACAGGCTGTGGCAGGGTTGGGCTTGTTGTGGCAACACAGGGCTAGTGTGCATTGTGCACACATCTGGTGGCCACAGCTCTGAACTTCGATTGTGCATGCCTGCTCAAAGCAGATGCAACATAATTCCGACTCACTAACCTGCAAAATATCCCATGATCAGTGGATAGATATATATATCACACATCATGGAGACAAGTCTTTATCTAGACAGAATAATCATCCTTTATAAAAAGTGTAATACAGTTTGCTTACATCTCAATAATTTAATTCAAAATCCTTTTTACTATTTGGTTATCAGTGAGTTCTGCTAGAATCAAGGAGTTTATGCAGTATGGGACACGGCTTAAAAATGATCAAAATGTGATTTTCTTTTTTTTTTAATGAACACCAGAGATCTTTGAATGTTGCATCATTTTTAAATTATGCAATGAGCGCTCACGTTTAATGTAAAAATGAAGTCTTATTAACTATATTCCCATGCTCTGATTTGATTGAATTACGGAACAAAGTTGGTGTTGGATATGCAGAGGTTGAGAAATTACCTCAGACACATCATCAGTTACCCCATCAGAATGTGATGGAGATGGAAGAGAGTAAGCGCTCCCTTTCAATATGTTTTTCTCCCTTTCTCTGTTTGCANGCCAATGTGAGATTCATTTGTTACCACAAGCAATTGCCGTCACTGTTTATCGACCCACTCGGCAGCGATCCTTCCAGAGCTGCGGCTACCCAACTTCCCGAATGAACTTACACCGGATAACCCCTTGAAGCTGCTGCTACCACTGTCATTCACGTTTCTGAATTTCTTTGATGTCTTGCTCATCTTGGAACAGTTTGTGTCGACATTGTCTAGATCAGTTTCGTCATGGTATTCTGTTTTCACGACCACGAGTCTTGTTATGGTGCTTCGACAGAATGGACATACTGGTGGAGTGAGACAGGCTGTGGCAGGGTTGGGCTTGTTGTGGCAACACAGGGCTAGTGTGCATTGTGCACACATCTGGTGGCCACAGCTCTGAACTTCGATTGTGCATGCCTGCTCAAAGCAGATGCAACATAATTCCGACTCACTAACCTGCAAAATATCCCATGATCAGTGGATAGATATATATATATATATCACACATCATGGAGACAAGTCTTTATCTAGACAGAATAATCATCCTTTATAAAAAGTGTAATACAGTTTGCTTACATCTCAATAATTTAATTCAAAATCCTTTTTACTATTTGGTTATCAGTGAGTTCTGCTAGAATCAAGGAATTTATGCAGTATGGGACACGTTAAAAATGATCAAAATGTGATTTTCTTTTTTTTTTAATGAACACCAGAGATCTTTGAATGTTGCATCATTTTTAAATTATGCAATGAGCGCTCACGTTTAATGTAAAAATGAAGTCTTATTAACTATATTCCCATGCTCTGATTTGATTGAATTACGGAACAAAGTTGGTGTTGGATATGCAGAGGTTGAGAAATTACCTCAGACACATCATCAGTTACCCCATCAGAATGTGATGGAGATGGAAGAGAGTAAGCGCTCCCTTTCAATATGTTTTTCTCCCTTTCTCTGTTTGCATCCATCAAGGCTTGTTCCAATAAAGCTTTAGCTTCAGGATTAAGCTCACTGATGAACTTCAATGGAGACGGCCAGACAAGAGGTTCTGCAGATGTAGGATTCAGCAATGATGCACAGGCTCCATGTTTGTGTTTCAGAGCAACCATATATGGTATCCGTCTGCATTAACACGCCAACTACGCATTCTGAGAGTATATAATGAGGAAAAGATGCAGGGTAAAACTTAAATGAATCTACCTATAAACGACCTAATCGTTAAATGAGGTAAGTTGCTCATAAAGTGAAGAAAGTTACGATAGGAAAATGCCAGATGAATACAGTAAAGGGCCCATCAGAGCAAATCAACGATTTTCCTAAAGAACATAAAAATTGACACTGCGAAGAAAAACAATCCAAAACCCAATAACCTCCCAAAAGTTAGAATTAAACACGTCTAGCTATATCACTCTAAGTCTAAAATCCGGTAAGAATTTGAGCTGAGAAACTGCACTATACCCAGATGCATCGCGATGAAGACGATCTGCACCCCATGCCAACAATTCACGAATGCAATCAAGAGATCCCCCTCTAGCTGCTAGATGAAGCGGAGTACTCCCGGGACAGCTGAAAATAGCAATTGATTACTTACTTCGCGAAACAGAACAGAAAAACACAACAGATTCAATCATTCGAACCACTCTTTGATGGATCATTACCCATATCCACCGGTTGAAGCACAAACAAGAGCTCCACTGTCCAACAGAATATGTACACATTCGGACCGTCTCTGACGAGCCGCCAAGTGCAATGGCGTTGCACCCTTTCCATCTCTAATATTCACAAACCGTGCAAACCCCCTGCAACGAATTCAAAAACACTAAATACCTTAAACAACACATAAGAAAAACACCATACATCGAAATCAATAGTTAAACAGAAAAGGGCAAACCAAGAAGCAGCCACTGGACTAGATTGAGCAGCGGAAAGAATAGCCTTAAGGCAAGAAGAATGACCGTAGTATGCGGCATAGTGTAAGCAGGTTCTCCCGGAAATGGTATCAAACATTAACACCTGAAAATCGCACGATTCAGTTTCCAAATTCATTAATTCATTCATGTCATCAAAGGATAAGATCAATGAAATCGAAACATTACATTAGCTCCGGCTTGAAGAAGCTTCTCGACACACGCGATGTTCCCGTGCATTGCTGCCAACATAAGCGGAGTCTGAAGCATTCACGACAGACGATGAAGGGTAAGCAAAGATAGCATTTTTTTAAAAAAAAAATAAAAATGGGAAAGCATAGATAAAGAGCAGAAGGCAGTACCTGTTTGTGGCGATTCAAAACATCTGGGTTGAGAGATCCATCCAAAAGCCTAGAGAGAATCTGGAAGGAAGAGAAGAGAATCGTAAAGAAGAGAAGTTGCGTGAAGAGAACGCGGGAGAGAGTGAGAGAGGAAAAGGGAAGGAACCTCGATCTGGGCATTGGCTGCGGCAATATGAAGCGGAGAGTGGCGATCGTAGAGAGTGGTTTGGTGGAAGAGAGAGGGGTCGGCCTCTAAGAGTGTGGTGACAATTTGGAGGTCACCCTGTTGCACGGCGGTGAAGAGGCCGTGGTCATGGTTGGGTGTGCAACTAAGGGTCTGACCCATGGGAGAGAGAGAGGTGAAGAATGGTTCACTCCACCTCTTGTGGGTTCGGGTGCGCCACCTTGTGTGGTGGCTTAAGGTGCTATAAATAAATGAAGAAGCTTGATTCACATTGAAGGTGTATGGTGTAAGTAACTGTGTTTTGTTATGGAAGAAGACAGTGGCAAAGGTTTTGGAGATAGAGAGAGAGAAGGGTAGCTGACCGTGTCAGTGATTAGCAGTTACTGAGAATGACTTGGGACAGCAGTCAGATTTAGCTAGCTAACTTAGCTACCCAGATAAATCTAATGGTATGAAATGAAATAATAATAAAAATAATAATAATGATATATTACATTCATTGCATGATATTTTTTACATTACATTCATTAGAACACAGGGTCCCCACCTTCACTTTCTTTTCAAACACTATCACTGTTTACTCATTTTATCTACTGCTTATCCTTTTTCTTTAAGGAAAAATGGTGTAATCATGGTGATGTAACAAATGATGAACCCCTTTTTTTATTTATCCATCTATTTATTCTAATTATGATTCCTTTTTAGTACTATATTTTAAGTACGCTTTGTAAAGTTAGATTTTGTATTTTTTTTTGTTCCACGTATTTTATCATTCTTATCATATGCTTCATTATTTTCTTGGTATGGTAAAACAAATGAACATTGTAATTAACAAATACCTACTTTTGAAATTTTTAAGCATTTTTATTAAATGAAAACATATTTTTTATTTTCTTTATTTTCAATTAAATGTGACATTTTACAATCTCGTTTTTTGAAAAGGCGAGTGAGGAAAAGGAAAATAAAATAAGAAAGTAAATAAAGTAGAACGAATTTAAAGCTATTTGAGAAAGATGGAAAAAGAAACACTTGTTTTTTTTTTTTTTGACGTTTTTAAAATAATACTAGAACTAAAATTAATTGCGGTGGTTTTGAAAAGCTTATTTCGAACCACCGAACAAAGATTGTCACAACAATTATGGCACGCGTCTACCATGTTCAAGTTTAACAAGTATATAGAAAAAAGAACATGACTTTTACACCTTTTTTATTTTCTCTCCTTCAAATTAAATTTATTCAACCAAGCAATCATATTTTTCAATTTTTTAAGTTATATATTAACTTTGGTGAGATTTTTTTCACAAAATAATTAAATCTTTACTCAAAATAAATCAAATCATGTATCACCTAAATCACCGAGAAGTTGATTTGGAATAGCGTAATTTAAATTTATGAATTTTTATGTTAAATAAATTATAAAAAAGTTCAATGCTACTATTTTAAACTAATAAAATTACGCGTTATATTTAATTTTAATTATAAATAAAATATACTTAGTATGACTTGTATGTAGTCAAAATTAAGATTAATCTCAACAATTTTAATATATATACATATAAGGTGTGCCCATTACATTTTAATATTGAATTTAAGAGGACATTTTATTGATAAGTCGAGGCGTATCTTGGTGATAAAATGAAATAATTAGAAGCATTGTAATAATATATTCATCTTTAAACATCCCATGATTTAATATTCAAGCGTGTATTTACGTGTTTAAATTATGCATTTAGTCTAGAATGATAAAAATATACCGTGACTGGGTTATATTTATATAAAATCAACGACAGATAATGTTAGTATTTATTATTTATAAATAAGGAATATTTTAATATTTAATAAATGGATAGGGCATATATATCATTTGTGGATATTGGTTATTTACAAAAATATTAAAGTTAAAATTTAATTTATATTTTATTAAGATAAATTTTATTAAAATTTAAATTTAGTTAAAATTTAAATAAAATTTAAATTTAATTTTATTATATTATATTTTATATTATTTTTAATT